AGTTTCCTCATTTTTGAACAAAAACTGATAGAGATATTTAAGTTCAAAGTTGAACAATAAAAAAATCAGACTTTAAATTTCACGTTCAAATTTGTAATACATTAATTAGAAACAACAATATCTTATTAACCAACAATTAAAATTTTAAAAATTTTGATATTATTATAATTCTCATAACCTAAGGAATCTGAAAATATAAGTTTCCCTGTTTTTGAACAAAAACTAATAGAGATATTTAAGTTCAAAGTTGAACAATAAATTTTTTTAATTTATTAATAAATAAATTTATAATAATATTTTATAAATATAATTGATTTTTAAAAAATATATAAATATTATGATTTATTTAAAAATAATATAAAAAAAATTAAAAATGAAAACAAAAATTTTTTGTTTTTATTGTAAATATCATGGAAAAAATGTGATTATGATAAAAAGTTCTGTAATAATTGTATAAAAAAAAATATATATTGTTTTCGATTTGAAAGAAAAAATAAAAAAGATAGTATAATAACAGTATTTCAAGAAATGCAAAAATTAAAACAAGAAAAAGATAAATTACAAGAAGAAAATAAAAAATTAATAGAATATCATGAAAATACTCAGCCAGTTATAAATAATTTAATAAATATAATAATATTTAATGAAAAATTTAGTAAAATATCAGGATATTTTAAATATAAATATAATAAAATAAATGAAAATATTGAGAAAATTAAGAAATAAATAAGAAAATATTTTTATATAAATTTTATAAATATATTAAAAAATATTAAATTATTTACATAAATCTATAATTTTTATAATTTTTTCCAATAAAAAATAGCATTTTTGTTTTAAATTATTATATATTATTAAATATATATTTATATTATTTTTGCATATTTTTTATAAAACTTGTTTTAAAATATAAACTTTGTTAAAACAATACAAAAAATTTTTTTTTGTTAAAAATTTAAAATTATAAAATAATTTAAAACAAAAAATACTTGATAATATAAATATTAAATTATTAATTTACATATATTATATAATTTATAAAAAACTGATATTTACTAAATTTAAACTAATTAAATAAAAACAGATTTAAAACCAAAAATTTCTTATAAATTCAGTTTGATTATTTTTAAAATTTAAAAAATAAATTATAAATATTAAATTCAAAAAAAATGTCTATTAGTAATTCGATTTTTAGTTTAAAAACTCTTAAAAATATATTATTTGATGAACAAGAATGTATTAAATTTTTGTTTGATAAGAATATTTTATATAAACCTTAATCATGTTCATATTGTGATTCTTTATTATATCGTGAAGATAAATTATATAGATATATTAATCGTATATGTCATAAATCTATATCAATTTTTAAGGATTCTTTTTTCGCAAAAAATCATTTAAAATGTTCAGATATATTAATGATTGGTTATTTCTGGTTATGTAAAACTAGTTACACTTCAATTATTAATATAACTAGTCATTTACCAAATATGATTACAAATTATATGAATTTTTTTAGAGAATTAATTATTAATATTAGAAGATAATACAAATATGATTGGTGAAAAAAATATAATTGTAGAAATTAATGAATCTAAATTTGAAAGAAAAAAATATTATCATGATCATATAGTTGAAGGTATATGGGTGGTTGGTGATATTGAAAGAACTGATGAGAAAAGATGTTTTGTGCAAATAGTACAAGATAGAACAGCTGAAATATTACATGATATAATATCAAAACATGTTATATCTGATTCTATTGTATATACTGATTTATGGAGAGATTATAGAGGAATTACAAAACTAAATATGTCTTGTAAAACACTAAATCATTCTAAGAATTTTATAGATCCTAATACAGGTGTTCATACAAATGCTATTGAAGATTTGTGAAATGGAATCAAGATATAAATTTCATCCCAAAATAGAAATAAAAATACAATTAATAATCATTTATTTGAATTTATATGACGTAAAAAAAATTCTGATAATTTGTGAACTAATTTTTTAAATGCACTACAAACTACAAGATATTATAATTAATAAGAATTTTTATATAATATTTTCAAATTATTACTTTTTATATATAATAATAATACATAAATTTAAAAATAATTATATATTAAATTAGATTTTTTATTTTTTATTATATCAATAATATAAATTTCACAAAAATATTAAATATTTATATATATATATATAAATAATTTGATAATAATTTAATAATTAATATTGTAATTAAAATTTTCTTATAAATATTGACAAGTAAATAATAAATAAGAAAAATTAATAATCTATTAATTTTTCTAGAATAATATTCTTTCGTATATATATACAATGTACTATAGTTGATCTTTGATTAACATAAAATCTCCTGATCATTTGTCTGGTATCTTATTCATGTAACAATATAATGAAATTTTGTTTCATTACAACGTGAACATACCATTTAGATATTGGTGAGCTCATGTAACAATGTAAAAGTAACAATTGTATAATCAAAATTTGCTACATTATGTGGATATATCATATTATACATCATATAAACAATGTTTTATATATTATATGAAACAATATTTATTATATCATATAAATATATCGTATTCATTATTTATTTAATTCAAAATAAGAAATAATAATATTATAAATTTAATTTATATTTTTATTAGTATTAGTATTTATTATAATTTTTTAAAAATTTTGATAATTTGTAAATTGATTTTCTAAATATATTACAAATCATAAAATATTATAACTAATAAGAATTTTTATATAATATTTTCAAATTACAGTCAAATTTCTCTATAATTACATTTATTTATAGTCACATTCTTCTATAGTCACCATATTTTGCTTTCCTATTTACATATAAATATAGTAAAAAAATCTCTCTATAGTCATATTCTCTATATAATCACCAAATTTTGCTTTTTCAAGGGTGATGACTATAGAGAGATTTGACTGTATCACTTTTTTATCACTGTGATATCTATTCCAATTCTTGTATAATTCATCCATTTTATAATTTAAAAGTGCGAATGATTTATTAAAATACAAAAGATGACTTCTACTAGTTGAGTAAGTCAAAGTTAAGTAAATAATAAATCAAAGTTAACAATAAGTAAAAGATTATTTAGAAGTATCAATTAACTTCTATACTTTTATTACTTTCAAAATTATTACTGAGATTCTTGTTATTCTATATTAAATTACATCTGTTTAAATACATATAAATATAATACAAATTTACATTATGAATAACATTACTTAAAAACAGTTATAAGATAAATTTGGAAGAAGTATAATGCCAAGAAATGATAAGTGTAATACTAATTTAATCTAAGTGATACAATTAAAATTAGAGTAATATTAGTGCTACATTAATTAATGTTAAACAAAATTAATTTAAAATAGAATGAATTTAGATCCAATAATGTTATAATAAAATAAATTAAGTAATATTAAAAAGAATTGATTGGTGTTTTTAATAAATTATATGTAAATTAAATAAATTAAATAATTAAAAATAAAATTATAAATAGAAAAATATAAAAAAAAGTATAAATGATTATCAAAATTATGTCATATGATATTTTACATGTGATCAAAATATCAAATAGTGACAATATATTGCTAAAAAAAACAAGTTTTAGCTAAAAAAAAATATGAATAAAATATTTTAGAATTTTAGTTAACTTTAATTAACTTTTATTCATGTTTTTTTTGCAATATATAAAGAAATAATAAAAGTTTTTTGATTATATAATTAACTTTTTAAATTAATATTATAGAAAAATTATTATTTAAATTGTTTTATTTATATTTAGAATGTTCTAAGAAAAATTATTTTAATTATAAAAAGAAATAATCATTTTTATTATATTTAGTATATTTCCTAATTGTATTATAATAGTGCTATTTTATAAATTATTTTAGATCATCATTATATAAAATTTATTTTATAATTAATTATATAACAAAAAAAATTATAAAATCAAAAATTTCTAAAATTATTCTGTTAAAGTTATTCAAAATTTGATTCTTAAAAACTAATTAACATTTTTACTGTAAATATACTATCAAGTTATATCACCTGATTAGTACATTTACACGTGATTCGTCGCACTGGCTCGGAAAAGATCACGTGATTAAACACTATTTCGAAACATTGTTCGTTGATTTTTCGAGATTATAATTACGCTTGTTATACATTCCAAGAGTGGTCGAAATCACATGAACTGACGAATAAAACATTACGTAATAAAAAATCACCAGCCAATAAATTTATCATGATAGAAATAATACATTGTCGACTAACACTTATTATGAAACAACGAACTAATATAAGAAATAAGTGATAATTAGATATATATATTTGATTTTTTCATTCTGTGCTCCTATGATCTCAGCGCTTCGAACTCGGAATCCGACCAGTTGTCAAGATTTTCATTCATATGTAGTCTTTGATTGTATGATTGCGATAACTCTTCAATTGAGTCAGTAAATATGTAAAAAGATATAAGTATTGCAAGCCTAAATTCGAAAACAGGTTTCATCATTCCATGAGATGTTCACATGGTTTATTAACTGCTGGTGGTTGTCTTGAATGATATCCTAATGGCAAGCACCTCATGAAAATTAAAAACATGACATAATTATACGTTCATATATGTTATTTGTATATCAAAGAGCCTTGAAAATCTCGCAGGTTTTGATTTGAAATTAATCACATGATATATACTATTGTTAACTTAGGATTACCTTGAGCAACCGAGTTTTTTTTACTTTAGCAAGCAAATTTTTATTTCATTTTCTTCACATATAACACAGCCATTGAAGCTGATACTTATCGCTATAATGGCACGACTGATCTTCACTTAATTAACCAATCATCATGATTTTCAACCATGCTATCAATTGATCAAAAAGATATAAGAGTGAAGTTTAACAAACAATCTACACTTTCATATATATATATAAAAATATAATAATTAAAAATGTCTCTCGCTAAACAAAATTTCGCATCAGTCACAGAAGAAACTATTAACGCGCAAATTAATACTGAACTTAAAGCGGCCCAAACCTATCTTTCTCTAGCCGCCTGGGCAGGAAACGTCAGTGTCGCGTTACCAGGCCTCACCAAATTCTTTCAGGAAAGTGCTCAAGAAGAACGTACACACGCTGACAAACTAATCAATTATCAAAACCTCCGTGGTGGAAAAGTTGTTCTCACCGATTTAAAAGCACCAGAATCCAACTGGACATCGGCCAAAAATGCACTAGAAGCGGTACTTCAACTCGAAAAAGATGTCAACAAATCGCTTTTGAATCTGCATAAAATCGCTGAGGAACAGAATGATCCACAGTTGTGTGATTATATCGAGTCAGAGTTTTTGGGCGAGCAAGTTGAGGCTGTTAAGAAAATTGCAGATTATGTAACTCAATTGAATCGTGTTGGTGGGGATGGACTTGGTCTTTATTTGTTTGATCAGGATTTGTTGGCGGGAAAATCGATCAATGTTAGTCATGCTATTTGATTTCTTGTTTTTCATTTCATTTCATGTCATGTCGTGAAATGACAAACTCCTAACAACGCCTTGCACAATATGTTAATTTTTAATAAATAATCAATGATATTTTTCCTTTTTGGTGGTTTTTTGTAACTTTCAGACACTTGAAATAAATTTTTTGGATCCTATTATTATTTACTTAATAGTATAAATTAAAGTACATACGCGTTTCTTTTTATCAATTCGAAATCCTTTAAAGATATATATGATCATCCATGAAAAATGAGGATCGTCCAATATAATTAGTGATCTACATATATAGGTTTTGGTGTAACTATTTTGGATTATTAAATATTTCAAGCTTTTAACCATGGCTACCAAGGCAGATCCAAACAAGCAAGGATGGGAGGAATCGGTCGGTTATTCAGAATTTCATTTAGATTTTTTTACCTCGTTATACCTGGATCTAACACAATGTCTTCTTAGGAGTTTCCAATACTTTGCGAAACTTGTCTCGGAGACAACCCATATGTTCGAATGGTAATACGATCTTAAAATCATTTGCACAAATCACTTAAATTAACCATAATTTTGTCCATCTAGACAAAGCAACCACATGGGAAAGAATGTAAGGTAAGTGTTTCCAAACGCTCATGAATAAAAAGAGTTTCATTTCTTACAAATTTTCAAAACCATATTTTGAAAATTTAAAGGTCTGTTCTCGTCCATTTACCATTTTCCGATGGCTTCCTGGATCGGGAATGCGATACAAAAAGACCGAAATTTGCCAGACATGTGCCAAGTTAAAAAATGTATGTCAGACATGTTTGCTGGATTTGCAGTATAATCTTCCTGTGCAAGTTCGCGATACCGCGATGAATGTCACGAATGATGCTCCTCGATCTGATATAAATAGAGAATATTTTGCCCAGAATATTGAAGGGAAGGTTTGTGTGATTGATTTCTTCTTTACGGTTTTTTTTTGCTTGATTTTAGGATATACTTTTTTTAATAATTTCTTTTTTTTGAGGAGTGCAGATTGCCGCTGGAGATAGTCTAATACAATATTCAAAGACAGATTCAGCTGGTCGTGATATGCTGAAGAAGTTGGCAAGAACAGAACCTTATTATAAAAGAAATAGGCCGCATATATGCTCTTTTTATGTAAAAGGAACATGTAAACGCGGTGATGAATGCCCATACAGGCAAATACTATTATCAGTAATTTTAATTAAAGTTTAATAAAAATTAAATCATTGAATTATTCAATTTCTAGACACGAAGTTCCCGAGGAAAATGAACTTTCACATCAAAATATCAAAGACCGATACTACGGCACAAATGATCCGGTCGCGAAGAAAATTCTCAATAGGATTAAAGGTGGTGGCAACTCAAACGTAAACCCACCGGAAGATAAATCTATTGTAAGTCACTAGCCGCTAATATTATTATGTTTATTATTCCAGATTTCGTTCAAATATTTAGTAGACTAATAATAAATATGTTATTTCAGACTTCACTTTTCATTACCGGTGTAGAAGAAGATATAATGGAGTCTGATTTAAGGTAACGATATATATATATATATCGTATTTCATCTTTGTTTTAATTTTAATTTGATTGTCTTTCCTATGGTAAATTTTTTATTGTTGTTTATACTTAGAGGGCATTTCTATGCATTTGGGGAAATTAAATCGGTTGTTGTGGTTCATAGATCACGTTGCGCTTTTGTTAATTACGCAACAAGATCTTCAGCCGAACAAGCTGTAGACAAATCATATAATAATTTGGTTATAAAAGGACATACCTTAAAAGTAGCTTGGGGTCGGCCTCGCCCAACAGGTCCTAAATCAGAGATTGAAGCGGATGATCCGCTGGGACCTCCACCTCTTATTCTACCACCACTCGAGTCACTAGAGATTCCTGCACCACCTGGTACTGAATCTAAAGGAATTTTATATCCAAGTCAAGGTAAGAAATCGTCAACTTGTACTTTGCATTTATAATTTTCTTGAGAAAGTTTTTAGCTGACTTTTTCCGATCATTCTCGCCAGATCCCACATATCAGGGTTCGACAACTAAAAGCTAACGTGCGGCTATTGTTAATCTAAATGTTGAATAAGCGAACTCATTTTAAAGGACAAATAATATATTATAGAAAGTGAGCGAGAAGTTAGCGGTAAGATCGTCTTCAAATTTTAGCGGGTGGTTATTTAATTAAAATTTCCTTTCTCAGTAATTATAAATGTATCTTTAGAAGCAAACCAATTTCTATAAAAGAATAATAATAAAAAGAATTTATATGTACAGCAAAAGCTAATAGGAAATTCTGCTGCGAGTGATTGATGAAAAAGCTTTTGTAAAGGGAATCAAAATTGAATGTCAAAAGAGCGGATTATTCTCTAAATTTATTGATGGATTCATCGATTGTATCCTTTTTATTTTTGAGCTGTATATGTATGTTTCTGTTATTATCACGTATAAAATATTAACAATATAATCCAAAGTATTAAGTTGGTTCTTTTTGCAAATAGATGTTTTTTTTAACTTGTTATTATACAACGTATTATACAACGAATGCACTTTATCCGATTCGATTCAAATTGAATATATACACAATCAGAAAATATCAGTTTCAATGAAATGATTAAATTTATATAAGTACAGCTATATTTTAAATAAATAGATCTAAACGAAGTTGACGTAAAAAAATCAAAAATAATTACAATAGGTTTCTTCAGTTCTACTCGTTTCTAAACAATCAACTTTTTTTTTACTAAAAGAACAAAGCTTGCTAGATAGATAATTTACAGTGACATTGCTAAATAATTAACAAATTTGTGGTCAATATATTAATTTTACAATAAATTCTCTTCACGATTTCCTAATCTCGTAATTTTTACGTAGGCATCAGTACCATATCCATCCATAGTCAGAATCTTCAATGCGCCACCCCAATATTCGGTATATACTTTGCTCAATGGCAATCCAATGCCCAAGTGCAGTAATGGTGGAATCATCGCATCTTCTTGCTCTTCTACAGTCCCTGCCATTTTCGGTACTTTTTCGAAATTTAAAAATTTATTCTCGCTTTTTTTGTCGTCGCTTAGTTTATGCGAGGATGAGAATGACCAAATGTGGGAATATATTTCATCGGGAATTCCACCACCTTGGTCAGATACGCGAATGTGAATGTCTGTTGGACCAGAGCATATAGTTACGATTATTGGTGGCAACGAAGATGAATTGGACAATGATATATTATCTGTTCGTGTCGATCTCGATATAGAGGAAGCAGGCGCATGCTTCTCAATCACGCCACACATCGAATTCTTCAAAAGTTCATATAAAATATATTCAATATGTTCTGGAATATAGGCAAACGTAGTATCTTGTTCACCATCCAATAAAACCTCTGGCGGAACAATTCCATATTTGTTTTGAGACAGTTTCCGAGTCATTTTAGCTACTTTCTCTACAATATCACGTGCATTACAACGCGTTGATACAACGCCAATATACCCACCACTCATAATTTCTTCACAGTAACCAGGATCATGCCAATTTTCAGTCAATGCAATCTGCTGTTCGGCTAAAACACGTCTTGATAATCGCGACCGCAACATCTTGTACATAAACCGATTGATTTGTTCTTCGGGTATATGTCCAGAGCACTCATTGATTCCCATTGCTAGTTGCGGAATCACCACCAAATGTTCCTTAAGCAACCCTTTAACAGCCGTACAAAACGCATCATTATCTTCCATAGTCTTTATTGGTGGGAATTGCCGTAGTTTTTCAAATGCCGACCAATACAAATCGTATACCATTGCTATGCGGGGATTTGTTCCAACAATAAATGGAAGATTTTGAATATCATGTATACGATGCGCTAGACGTATAGGCAACTCCGAACGAACATAATTTCCACTTTGTATTAATCGTTCCTCGGTCAAATTCCTTCCGAAAAACACCAGTTGGCGAAGAGTTATGGTATGAACAGGTTGAGAAACGTAACGGTCTAGAATTCGATTCTGATAAAAGTGTTGTGGCGAATGTCCACGTCGTTGTTCTGTCTTATTTATCGTAGAGCTAGCATTCTGTTGTCGATTAGGGGTTTTCGTCGATGGTGGCGGTGGTGGTGAAGGTTGATAGGGTGGTGGCTGTGGAGGTAATATTGTTCTTACGTTTGGTTGAACTGAGGCAAATTGAATGGATTCTATCAAATTTTTGATAGAGACAGTGGAAAGCGGACGTGGAGGCGTAGTTGTTGAGGGTGACGAATTTGCAGTTAAGGGACCCGGATGGGAATTAGTATTTGTATATGTAACATTCCGAATTTGTTGGGGCAAAAAATATACGCCTGAATTCTTTTTAGCTACTATATTCTTTAAAGAACAGCGATTTGCGCGCCAACACATATTATTTTGATTTACTTTGGGCAGGGCGGTCGCCATTATGCTCATGCGATAACGTATTCAAATGATTAAAATTACTAATGATAAATAAATAGCGGTCCGAGTGAAAATGGTTTCATCTCGGCAAAGTTTATCAAACAGTTAGATGAATAAATATCGTGTAACCGAAGGTTTTGAAAATCACATTCTTGTTTACTAATACTAACACTAATAGATATCATCAATGTCTTCTTCGAAATCAAACTCTCGAGGTCGTAATTCACCATTATATACTTATGCAGCATTAGCTGTGGCTGCAGCAAGTATAGCCTACTACATTTATCAAAGATCTCAGCCTAGAGAACGACGTGATAATAGAACAGGTGGTGAAGGAGGTACTGGTACAGAATTAGAAAGGAATGAAGTAAGTATTTTACGAAAATGTTAAATTACGTAATTTCGAAAAATCACGATTGTAGTAAACTTATAAACTATTAGACACAAAGAAATATAAATACAACAAATCAAACACGGCTAAGGCGTGTAGTTGATTCGCCGACACGTGGCAGAAGTGCCACATCTAGGCAATCCGCTAGGATAAGGAGGAAGCAAATGTCCATTTCATTAAAAGATGTAATTAACATTTATAATTACTCGATCATTATTGTATTTTATTATACTCTGATTGTAATTATGTATGTTATTAACTCGACAGACTTTGATATGGAATCCATCTAATGATCCCGATTCCCCAAATTATGCATTTGTGGAAAATGTTCTTGCATTATTGCAAGTCCTCACAAAATCCTACGATATTCATCTTGTCGCACCAGTCAGGAATGATCAAGAAAAAGAACAAATTCTTTCACTATTCCGAAATGCCGATTTGTTCTCATCTATTGACGAGAGAAAAGTTCTTTTTTGTGAAACGGAAGAAGGCAAAATTCACATTGTCAGACATCTAGAATCTCCTATACACATTGAAGGTGGCACAGCTGAGACTGTTGATTTGGTGCGTGGATTTGTGGAAAGAATTGTGTGGATAAATTCAAAGGCTAACAATAATAATACGTTTGGAATAGCAAGAAATGTATTTGCCATAAGCAGTAACAGCGCTAGTAGTAGTAGCGTGAGTTCGGTAGACACAAGTCAATGGACAAATGTAGAAATTTGTAACAGTTTACTAGCAAGCTCTCTAAATCTCGATCGTCTAATAAAACGAAGAAAATAACCACCATCACCACTACAATCAAACCAAAAAAATATTTATAATATATAGAAAAATAGAAACTTATTGTAAATATAAAGTGAAATCCTACGTTTAGATTCACAGTAAAAAATCCTATGGATTAATTTCCCTTGCTGAAAATATTCTGGTAGAAGGGTTAGCTACGATTAATCTGTTATCCGTTAGTTATTCAGCTGATAGATAAATTTAGCCAAAAAAAATTCCGTTTATCCCAGATTGAGTGCATAGATCGTCATCAGTGCAATTATCATAATTAGGAATCATGCACTGCGAATATTATTCCTTAACAGCAGTTTTTCCTCACATGTGAAAAAAATAGGGTATCTGCGGAAATGGATAATCCGATTTATCAATAGGGTTACTGATGTAAAGCTCTATATTCTGGTTTTTAATAATGCTAAACTAACAATATTTTTAAAAGCTTCAAAAATAACATTGAATTGACGGTTTAATGTAATAAATAGATTGCCTAATATGAATACCTAATTATTATTGTTGAGTATCCATTTCTTTGGTGATCACCTGCACATTATTCTCTTCAACTTTCCCTTCAAGTCCACCCCGCCACAGAATCGTTGAATTCCATTTAGGAAACACACGCTTATAGAGATTCATCATTATAGTATCTTGTTGTCCAATTGGGGCATCAAACACGCATTTCATGTACCCATGAGTTCCGAGTGATTCGCGTATATGCCCGGTGCGACCATATTTTGTTGTTAATTGTATAGGTTTGAACCATGACACATCATCTTATTTTCCAAAAGAAGCGAGTAAATTATAAAATAACACTAGGTTACACATTCATGAAATGCTACATACCAGAATTAAAGAACATATAACGGATAACTGCAGATTTCTTGTGAACTTTAAAAGGATATCCGGTAAGACAGATACGTTTGGCGATAATACGCTTCGGTTCAACATTAGTAAAAGTGCCAGTTGCAACTAATATAGGAGCTGATTAAATTTAAAATTATATTAGCTAGATTACTAGAATTGAATAAATTATTTTCTTCCCATACCATTAACATCTCCTGTATCTTTGTAAAGCATAACAGGCAAATTTCCCATCTGAATAGGTCCATATATTGTTGCCATACACGTACGTCCTAAATTAAAGAATCTCTCAAATTTATGCACATTGTTAGTTCTCTTGCCACCTTGAGTATTTTCCGAGTATAAAGGTCGAACTATATAACGCCGAAAACCACAGTGAAGTATAAGAGGATCCTAGAATATTAAAATATAGATAATTTGAATTGTGATTAGTTTGAAATTTAATTCAAATCTCACGACATCCTTGTTGAAATTACCTTTGACTTAACCGGTTCTTCAAATTCACTATTTCTAGTGACAATGAAATTTAAAACAGACATTTTATGCTCATATCGGAGAAGACCAAATACAACAAATGGTCTAGAAGAATTAAATATTTCCAATATAGCTTTTGATACATTAGCAACATGCAAGGTAATTCTTTGTCCCGTTTTGACAACCTCAGTGCTCGCTTCTCTTAATACACGATTCTTTGCTCTTTTGTAATTCGAAAATTCGAAAATTCGCGAGTAGTCAACTGGCAAATTTTCGTAAGGGTCCCATGGGGATTTGTGAAAACTTTGTAGTCCGCGATATCGTTGGAAACGAGTTCGTGCTGGCATATCGATTGGCGTGTCTACTTCATCGGGAAACTCCAAATCATCACGCTGCTGTTTTGAAAGCTTTTCCATATATTCTCGAAGCCTAAATGAAAAAAATGCTGAGTATAGATATCAAAAAAAAAAATCTTTATAGTCGAGGATCAACGTACTGTCGTTTCTCTTCTTCCGGCGATAAATGTATATTAGAAATGCTTCTCTTGTCTTCTAATTCAATATCTTCTAATTCCTCTTCTTCTTCGTTAATTTGGGTTAAGTTATCGTCAAGTTGTTTATTTGCTTGAGAGTCGTTTTTGTAACTGTCATTTTTATCATCATCAACATCATCATTTTCATAGCTCATAACTTCATCATCATCATCATCACTATTCTCGTTATCTTCTTCCTCGGATTCTGAATCAACAATCCACGCCGCTTGATAAGATGATGTTCCTCTTGGAACTCGTTTCAATACTCTTTTAGGAGTAGTTCCAGGTATCGCGTCAGGGATATCTTCAGAATTCATAGATGTCGTTCGAACTTTGGGCAAAAAGTATTTGTTGATAAGTAACGTCTTAAACAATGGTGTACAAAGTATAAACATACCCTCATCTAATTCTTCACGAGTTGGCCATGTTTGGTCATTTGACATGAAATCAGGTTCATTCTCTGCCACCAATGTTTCCTAAATTTTGAATTCTTCGTATGTCATTATTTCATTAATCAAATATTTAAGAAATAAAAAATTCGATATATACTTGTAAATCTGGTACTGGAACGTCTAAAACTTTGATATCCATTGCCTAATTCAGGGAGATAAAACAATTAATATATTATCCTGGCAATAATCAAAATATTTTATATTATCATACCATTTCATTATTAGCCTTTTCACTAGATACAGGGGATGAAGTAACCTGTAATTTATTAAAACTGTTAAGAACCTGTATAATAAGCTAAAAATAAAAATTTAAGCAACAAAGAGAACACCTGTATCAACTGATAGTCTCCAAAGTTTTGTAAATGGACTAATCGATTTGCTGAAAAAGGATTTCCTCGCGCATATCCAGTAACTCGAAGAGTTCCAAAATTCTGTTCATAAATCAATAATAATTTATTAGAAAACCGCGTTTTTTTTTTTTGAATAAAAACATATTATTTCACCGAACCTCATCTTCAGAATTAGCATCAAAGCCAACATCATCTGCTAGCATGTATGGATGGGTATCTCGCCAATGTACGTTTTTTGGAAGCTGTGTACAGATTGTTCTCAGTACATTAAGAGCTTCCTACATATCAAAAATTAAAAATGAGTGAAATTTATTTGTAGCATCTTTTTGCAAAAGAAAACTCAACAAACCTGAGAGACATCAAGAGAGTGAATTTTTTCCTCGTCTGGAAAAAAATAATTTAAAAAGCTCAAAAGTGATTTTTTTACATCATTACGCTTTTTTGGTGATTGAAGCTCAAGATGCTATTAAGGAAGATAATATATAAATAAATAATATAATTGTTGCCCAATTTTTAATGGCTAAAAATGCTCGCTGATAATAAGTAAAGAAAAAAAATGAATCACCATAACTGCAGCAATAACAGTCGGTACACCTTGCGCTTGAATTGCTTTTACACATTGTTCACCAAAGTTATCAACTTCCACCTCAGCAGACATTACAAATACAATAAAATCTGCTACTTTGCATGCATCTAATATATCAATGAAATTACGTTCCAGTAAAATAAATTGTACTTTTTGTTTGAATCTTTCAGCACTAATAAATTAAACATAACAATCAATCAATATATATATGAAAGTATAATATGCTGAAGTCCGAGATAATACATTTACTTTAATATAACGACTCCTTTTGTATGGGACGGTGCCGTTTGATTGATACTTCCAAAGATATGTACAACTGCATTGTAAGATTTAACATCGGGACATAAAGGAATTACGGCCTTAAATCGAATATTTTTGTTAATTAAGAATTCGATCATATAATTGATCAGGAGATCGAATTAATATATAAATAATTATCTAACGTACAACAATTTTCGGGGCTCCAAACAACCCATCAAAAAATCTATTCGCTTTGAATAATGCCTCCCTTCGTTTCTGTTGTTGTTGTTTTGCAGTATTGCGTCGGTCTGCTTTTGTGGGAAGTGCTTTTACTTGGTTTTTGATTGAGACGCGCTTCACTTTGCCTAATTCCACGCAAATACTAAGTCAAACTTCTCTTAAAGACAGGATTTCTCCAGTATTAGCTATTTTACCTTTACTCTTATCCTTAAGAGCATTTTTTGTCGCGTGCTTTGACTTGAAAGGTTTATTGGTTTGTTTCAGAGCTGGCGAAGCCCTGTGGTGAAAAGGTTTTTCAGTCGGCATTTCTTGTGGGCTGATTTGACTCCATGACGATTTAGATTGGCCCAATTTTGGTAATTTTCGGCTCGAGTTAAATCAGTTGTGGCAAATCTATTAGTCACGTGATAGAATAAAATTCACTTAGAAATATATACTAATTAACTTGAACACGTAAAAGAATTCTTTATTATCATTAAAAGGATTTAAGAGGAGTTAGGCATAAACAGTATTAATTATACATGTACGGTACTATAATTAAATTTTAATTAGATAATTTTACTACTGCTCGATATTATTTAAAAAATTCATTTGTCACCTGACCGCATTAATGAATTTTTTATGCCACCTAGCTATGTCCAAATATTCTATATTCGTATTGGGGATCATGTTTAAAGTGCTGGAATTCGGCTCATCAGTCAAGTCAATGTCAAAAAACCACCTTGGCAGTATATAATTTTTTTTAAATTCAGTCAATTAATTGATGATGAGGTTGTTTTATCATGGATGCTTGTGTTTGTGAAATGGGTTTTTCCACAACATAATCCTCTGTATTGTCGAACCACGACTTTTACTATCTTTCTTAAATTTCGTTTAACAACTAGGTTCTGCTAAAGCGCTGTAGTATCTGTGCTAGTGTATTGACTTCAATAAGAATATATAATACTAACAGTAACATGAGGAAATGATGTTGTTCAAAGAAAAAATTAAGAGCTAGCCAAAATGCAAGAGGAAGAAAAAACGAATCTATTTAACTTTCTTTGTTATAAGAAAGTTAATTATAAATCTCTTGATATATATTTATCAATATATTATGGCGGAATCTTACTACAAGTGACTCTCGATATAAGAAACTCGATATAAGAAACCCTCGATATAAACTTTTGATATAAGAAAGAAATTTCAAAATTAAGAAAGTTTTTTTGTTGTCTTATATCGAGTTACTGAGTTACTTGTAATAATGCAAATCAACTTCCCAGTATAGAGTAGTTGATCATTAATGTCTATTATTAACCAATTATTCATTTTCTACAATGATGCCAACCTCAAGAGCCAATCATTGAGGTTAAAAACGCGTAGTTTACTAATGTGTCGGTCTTTGCCTATATCGGAGATGCGTTAATGTGTATCTGTAAATTAAAAGCGCCCAATCAAAAATTTCGACATTTAATAGTGTCACGAAATTCGATATTGTTCTCATGGCAGAAATAGATAATTCTCTCAGTAACTTGTTTGCTTCTGGCGAAGCATTATATAACTCGATTGAAAACTCGGGTCTTGCGTCTTCTGATATAAAATACCAAGTAAGTAACTTACACGTACTTTGTATGTTTTATTCCATTTGGACATGAATTTTACTAATCTATTAAATAGGAAGATGTTCGTCGTGCCTTAGGATGCTTTTCAAAAAGTGCTTTCTTGGTAGACAATCTTAGCATATTTAGCGCGAATGAAACCGTTGACGATATTAACACTACTGACCTTAGGAAAGTCTTAGGAATCAAACTCTATCGATTTGGAAAATGCGACAAATTATAACCATTGATTCTGTTCTCAATAGATTTTTATTAGTGGAAGCATATCTTGGCAATCTGACCGTTAAATTAATCGAGGGTGAAAGACTTGATATATTGAAAAAAGCAAAGGTGAACAACGCGAAAATTATTTTTAGTAGTATTTCAGATTTAATTGATTAACCTGCTTTTTTTATAGCAATATCACGAACAATTCCTTCGAAATGTCGAATTACATGAGATCTTAACAAAAGAGGTATTCTACTTGGACCTTTTGTCTCTTTGTTAGATTTAACATTAAACTTGAACACTAATAAAATTTGTTAGGATAGGAATTATATGGAAGAGCAAAGTAGCGATTTCACAAAGAATGCAGCAAAGACGCGTGAAATCAAGATCGTTCGCTATAAGCGAAAAATTGCCCTAGAAAAAGAAGTCAAAGTAAAAGAGTTGTGTTTAATCTTTTTCGTCACCTTTTAAATTACTAAACACTGTTCATCCATTGTTTTTCTTTTAGGAATTAGAAACATTAGGAGAAATGATCGATGAGAGTACAAGGCGCAAACACGTCCTTAAACTTATAGAATTATTTATTCAAAAATCTTTTGATGAGTTGACCTCAATAAAACAAGAAACAGAATTGCTCGAAAAAATGCAGATGACGCAAGATCAGGGTACTGAACAAAAAAAGACGAGTGAACTGTATCAGGCTGATTCGCGACTCAAAAATACCAACGGGCCTTTATTGTCCAAGGAGGGTCGGGTAGGTAAAAATCTTGTTAATTAGTAGGTTTCGTTGATATCTCGAATCAAAATATTATCTATATTAATTTTAATTATTGTGTTGTTAGCCACTTCAACCATTCATAATTACTAATCAACGAGAAGCAATACAGCAACAAGTATTTCGACCTGGTTGGCGATTACCCACAATGACAGTGGATGAATATCTTCAACAGGAAATGAATAGGGGCAATATAATAAGTGGAGGAGGGTAAATAAATCCTCTTCATGAATTTCATATTTTCTCGTTAAATTAAAATTTTCTTTATTTTGGATTACTAGTAAAATACCAGAAAAAAAGGAAATTGACGACAATGATGAAGGTGCAATCGACGCTGCCACGTATAAAGCTCGCGAAATGGATGAATTTAAAGATACAAATCCACGTGGTTGGGGTAAGCGACCGCAAAAGCAAGTGTATGTCGATTTTAAAATATTGACGCGCTTATGTATATAATTCTCTAACACTGTAGGGAATCGTATGGGCAAAGGATAAACAGTTTGCTTGAATTATTAATAAATTATATGATTATAAAAAAGGAAAATTCTGTTGATGGTTTTTTTTGCAGTAAAATTATTTGTAAATGCAACTTTATATTCACAATTATTGCTTTAATAAATACATTGAATGATTACTTTAATGAGCGTTCTTTTCTTCAGCCTCGGCAGCTTGCAAGAATTCCTTGATAAATGTCTCTTCATCAGAAGAGGACGTAACGATAGGTGGAGTTGGACCAGCCTTTTTTGACAAAGCGCGTGTTGCAGCGAAGGCGCCAAGCCCAAAAGTAGTCCAAGTGGCGAGTGTTAACTAAATTTTGTACCGAAGCTTAATTAAATATATCTTTTGAAGGTGTACCCAAATTGGGTCCTTTTTTAATTCAACGACCTTTCTAAAAAAACCTCGAGAACAATAATTAAAATACAGAATGACGGAAACTAAGATGTTGACTTACGTATTCATTTAAGATTTTTCTACCCGCAATTATATAATGCCCTCCCATTTTGTAAAAAGTAGATTTTGTATTATCGGGAAGAAATATATCAAAAGTTTTCATCTATTAACTTTATAATTCGTGTGACATTGTGCTATCAGTGACGTCACAATTGTAAATTGGCACATCAGAAGTTATAATAATTTCTCCACCAAGTTCTGATTGGATACAAGTAATTTCCATCGCTGATTGGTTGACTGCGCATTGGGTCTTCTAAATTTTTGATCAACCCGGAAAAACAAATCCGATACAAGAATTAAAAAGGCGAATAATGGGTAAACCTGGCTCGAAGAACATTTTACATGTAATCTTCTCTCTAGTCTAATCCTAATCCTTAATCCTAACGCTAAAACTAACCTTTAATATCCTCAACCAATCAGTAAATTCACCCTAGTGAGTGCATGTGATGATGAACTAATCCAACCAATAAGAATGCGTCAAAATTCTGCGCAACCAATAGGAATGTAGCAAATTTTTGATCAACCCGACAAAAAAAATAAATGAGAAAAGATAAAAAATGCGAAAAATACAAAAAACAGATGTCTAAATCTAGCTTGGCGCACTATCAAAAAATGTCGGGAAGACAATTTTATATATAATTTTAACCTCACCTCTAACCCTAACCCTAATACTTGATAGCTAATATTAATCGGATATTTTAATGGATCTATTTCAGATCACATGCACCAAACTTTTTTTCGCCATGGCTATCTTTAACGTAGCGATCTCGTCATTGAGACGAAAAAATGTATCCTTGTTTTTTAGATGAAAAGAGATCAATGACTTGCAAACATTTTCTCCTATTAATCATAATATCATGCTCCTTTACTCTACGCGTAACACATGGAATGCCGGAGAGACGGCTCATAGAACTCAGGTATATACACAATAGAAATATTGATACCTTTATAAAGTTGGGAATGAAATAAAGATATATATAGTTATTTTATGCAAAGTCCAAAAACATACATCTTTTTCTTTCGTTATTCTTGATAGGCGGGAAGTTAAGGTATATATCCATTTTATTTTGAACTTTTAGAGAAGGAAGTAAAATAAAAAAAGATGCACCAGCAAAAGAAGAACTTAATTGTCGTACTTGAAAAAGATAATTTAAATACGAATAAAATTGGCTTTTACTGTTCTGCATAGGAAATGTTTTATCATGGATTTGATAATTACATGAAACACGCGTTTCCGGATGATGAGGTATCCTTTTTCGCGTTGTTTTCAAATTCTTGAATGCTTCTTGATCGGGTTCTTAATAGTTTATGCTACTTTTTCAGCTTAATCCAATTCAATGTGTTGGTCGTGGTAGTGATAAACAAGATCCGCAAGTATTCATCTTTATATATATCTCTAATGTTTTAATTAACACATTAAAAATAAAAAATGTGTCAAATGATGAATGCAAGGTCTCCCTCTTCTGAGAAGAAAGTGCTGACAAAGACCAAACCGGAATCATATATAATCTGAACACATTCTATAGCAATATAGCTTAGCAGCATAATTGCCATAACACGATTTTTAAATGTTATTTTATTTACTCTTTATAGTAATAATATAGTAGTAAATGATGTATTAGGCGATTATTCTTTGACGTTAGTTGATTGTTTGGACACTTTTGTGGTAAGTAAATTCATTTGAAGTATTAATATAATCTGATCTGCACACCGAATTCGAGTTGGTTCATGGATAGAAATGATTCTAAGACTCGTTTAATAAATCATTCGACATAAGTTCTAATTTATTGTATTTTTTATATTAAGGTTTTAAATGACAAAGAACAATTCGAAAATGCTATTCGTAAAGTGATTGATTACGTCTCATTTGACGTTAATAACAAAGTTCAAGTTTTTGAACTTAATATTCGAGCTCTGGGTTCTTTGGTAATGAAGTTGGTATTGTAGAATCAAGTGTTAGATGAATTTGAATTTTAAATATACAATTCATCCAAATTCTAGTTATCCGCTCATTTATTCGCTACCGATCCTCAATTCGGCTTTACAATCGATTGGTATAAAACTGAATTATTGGACTTAGCAAGCGATTTGGGGGAACGTTTACTTCTCGCCTTTCAACATTCAAAAACTGGATTACCGTTTCCAAGGGTAAAATTTTAATATTTATTTTTCTGATAATTGAAATATATATAATTAATTGTTTATGACTGTAGGTGAATCTAAAATATGGTGTTCCTCAAGACGAAACACACGAGACTTGTACAGCTGGTGCTGGAACTTTAATATTGGAATTCGGAGTATTAAGCAGGTTAACAAATGATTCGCGATTTGAGGTTAGCATTAACATACATAGTAATAAATGCTGCATATATTTAATAAATAAATATCTAAAAGATAGTTCATTTCATTGTTAAAGAATGCTGCCCGAGCTTCACTATTTGGTCTGTGGAACAGGAGATCAAATTTGGATCTTCTAGGCAATGTCATTGACATTCAAACAGGGCAATGGATTCACACAGCATCGAGTACCGGAGCTGGAATTGATTCTTTTTTCGAGTATTTACTAAAGGCCTACGTGCTCTTTGGTGAATCAGAATATCTCGATGTATTCTCGCAAGCGTATTCCGCCATAATGCGACATATACGTGATGAAAGTGGTTATCTTTATAGAAACGTTAATATTTTCAATGGTGGGATGATGTCATTCTGGGTGGACAGTTTGTCGGCTTATTTCCCAGGTTTGCAGGTGAAACTTTGCGAGCTTTCGAAATACATATTGAGAATTTTTTAAAACTAATTTTTAGTTTGAAAAAAATGCTATTTTATTTGTATAGGTCTTGGCAGGCGATTTGGAAAATGCGATCAGGTCACATTTACTCTATTATAATATATGGCGCAAGTATCATGCCCTGCCAGAACGCTTTAATTTTCGACTGAAAAATGTTGAAATCGGAACATATCCTTTAAGACCTGAATTTATCGAGTCTACATATTTCCTCTATCGGGTAAGACGAAAAATTTTCTGTCATATTTTTTGATCCAAAAATACTCAGAATTATTTGGTGTTAGGCAACTCGAGATCCTTTTTATCTTGAAGTAGGCGAAATGGTTCTTAAAGACCTACAAAAATATACGCGTGTTTCATGTGGTTTCGCTAATATACAAAATGTGCTCACGAAAAAATACGATGAGAGAATGGAAAGTTTTGTGTTAAGCGAGACTTTTAAATACTTATATTTGCTTTTTGATACAGGTAATTGTAATTTATTTCTGTATGCTGTATCTAATAAACAGAAAACTAAAGTTTAAGCATAACTTTAGATAATTTATTCAACACTCTCGAAAGCAACTTTGTATTCACTACAGGCAAGGATTTACATTCCTATTAAACTATTAAAATTTTTAAAAGTACTAATTTATATATCTTATAGAAGCCCATATATTACCTTTACCCCGAAAATATCTAAAACCACCTTTACTTCGTCAAACGTTGCGAGGGATCGATACGTCAGTATGTCCAGTATATCAACCTCGTCGTCATCTTCTAAATTCAGTTTCCGCTCGGCCTGATGTTGATTATGCCAGGGAACTCGTGGGCTATGATGATAAGATACTACCTGAATTGTACTCGCGTGGGTATTGTGAAGTACCACAAACAGACCCGCCCATGATAGAGATTAGTTTCGGTGAATTAATTTCCGACAAGCAACAACCACAGCAGATTCGCAAGTTCCTCGATGGATTAGTAGTTAATAATCTCCATGGCTTGAAATTGCAATTGACCAGAAGGGAAGACCGGAAAGGTTATGAGGCAACTAAAGGTACTTATTTCTTTCCTTTTTAAGTTACACAAGTTATATGTTTTTTTTGACGAAGATATTCACATATTCACTTTTTTTTTTTACTCCACATGTTGACAGTCGACGATCACAGGTATGGCCTCAATTAAAATACGTTGAATCTTCTGATCAAGAAGAGCTTTCGAATGAAAAAAATCGGTTTGTTGCAAATTATTATATCTGTTATTTGACTCACTCTAATTCAACAGAATACTTCCTGGACAAATCCTGGAGATTCGAGATCCGGCAGTAAGAAATGTTTGGATAAAGCAACAAACCTATGATATTTCGATTATAAGAATAATGGATGAAGAAAATTCCGTTAATTATCAGGATTTCCTGGCAGCATCAGCTACTTTTGGCCTTGAAGTTACAAAAAGATTGCCCGTTTCTAACTTGGTTTACATAGCCTCATCCCCTTTAGGCTGTAGCGCTTTCTCGGCTGAAGAACAAAACAGAATTCGTAATCAACTATTGATGTTGAAGCGAGGAGGATGCCCTTTTGTGGACAAGGTGTTGCATGCACAAAATGCAGGTGCACGAGCAGTTGTTATCGTAAGCGATGACAATAGCTTATTCCAGCCTGCACCTCCTGCAGAAGCCGACGTATTGGACATCCGAATACCATGTATTTTGGTAACCCTCGAGACGGGTCTTCAATTGGAAATGCGACTTTCACATTCTACTAATACCTCTAAAAGCGAGCATCCACTAATTAACGATAATCAGAAATCAAAGGTGGTCTATGCTACTATTTTGCCGAGGCCAGTCGATAGTCCAACTTTTATCAAAAATGAGGGAGATGACGCAAGATTAACTATAAATGGACACATAATACATAATATTCGACTTAATTCAGATGGAAATTAACTCTCATAATGATAATTTAAATTAGAAATAGATTTATATAGTTATTGTATTTTAATTATATGCTTTGAAACATTTTTTAGCTTTAAAATTTATTATTACAAAATAAATAGAATCAAAAAGTAATTTTTGAATTCATCCTTTATACTTTAAGCCTGAATCTTCATATTTTAAGACCGAATATAATGGTGCATTCAAGACCGCAGCCCCGTTCAATTCAACCGCCTCAATCACAAACAAGTATTTCAACACTTTTCCTCCGGATAAATTGACAAGCTTTCCTGCAGCAGCAGCACTTCCTCCTTTTGGATTGTATAATAAAAAATTTAAATCAGTCAGTCACAAAGGAATCTTTATTTAAAAATTGAAAAAAAAAATACCAGTGGCAATCAAGTCATCCACCACAATCACATTCTGTCCAGGCTTTACCGCGTCTTTTTCCATTTCGAAAACATCCTAGATTAAGAATTTATAGGTGAAATCAAAAAATCAGTCAATAGCTACTGCATTTGCAGAATCATATGGTTTATAATGTGTTTTGCATAATGAAATAATTAAAAAATTTGATCACTCGATTTTTTAAATTTTTAAATTTGATCATAATGATATTGCACGTTTTTCAGTTTGCAGAATCAATTGCAGTAAATTCTGCGCAGAAATGCAGTAAACTGGATACACTAGTGTGAATGCAAAAATTTCAGGTTGACAATATTCTTTACCACTCCATATTCTTTGACGTACTCTACAGTAACTATTTCCCCTGGCAATTTTCCCTTCTTTCGAACCGGCGCGAAGGCCGCAGCTAATCGTAATGCGATGATGGGACCAAATAGAAATCCACGTGCATCAAGACCTTCGTTATTTAAGAAAACATAGATTTTGATTAATTTTATAGATCCAAGGAATAAAAATTATTCGGACAGTTGATTAATAATCTTTAACCACTAACCAATTACAACATCTATCTTTTCTTTAATGGTTGAAGTGACATGGGACACCAAATGTGTTATCAAAGACTCGACAGCAGTTGGGTCTTGGAATACTGGGAAAATGTCTTGAAAGTTTATACCCGGTTTTGGAAAATCTGGGTTGGCGCGTATTAGGCCTCGAATTCGCTCGATATCTGCCATTATTTCCCACTGAATTGAAGATTATATTTGTGCAAAGGCTGCGGGGCTACAAAACGAAGTCATGTCGCTTAAATTTCGTATAACCATGTGGTTACAATATGGATTGCAGATTAGGTTAAATTGTGCAGTATATACACATGCTATTTGGCATTCTTATGTAGATTGAAAATCTCAGATTAGGGTTGTATTACCATAACACTAGAAGGAGTAAAGGAATAAAACGAGAAATAAACGGTTATCTTTCAATTATAAGAAAAATAAAGGAACAAAACAAGAAATAAACAGTTATCTTTCAATTATAGGAAAAATAAAGGAATAAAACAAGAAAAGAAAATGGCTTCTGTGCGAAAAAGAAATGTGATAATTAAAATTAATCAATAATCCCAGGATAAATTGTTGATTTATCGTGTGGAGAAAAAGCAATCTCAATTAAAATTGGTTTTTTTGATATCACACCCTTGGAAGTGATGATGAAATCACTAAAAAAAATCAATTTCCATATAATCACATACATATTAGCCATTTAATTTGAAGTTCATAACGATAATATTCTTTTCTGCATGTATTGAAAATCCCCAACGATTGCTTTCTAACCTGATTACTCTTCGCTTGTTTTTCGTGAGAATAGCGTCTTCTGAGCGCATATGAATCAAGAAATACTGAATAGTCAATATTCAATGCGTATATTATACAAGTGGGACTCCATTCTCAAATTGACAGTATGCATTGTGATGCATCGTTATATCGAGATTCACTTGTATATAATGTGTGCGACATGTCATCATTATAAACTGATACAGAGACGCGCCTTGGACTCAAAATCTTTAGAAGTGCCAAATTGTTAGCCCACACATTTAAATATTGGCTTAGTTATTTTCCCCTTTCTTTTCATGCGAGCATTACTTAAAGAAACGCCGTTCAACCAAACAATAATATATGCTTGCATCTTTTTTGTTCTATGAATTACAATTTAGGAAGTACTCTTTCTTACAATGACGTGAATCACTTTATTCTTTTTATATTATGCGTAGATCTTCCCAGAGGTGCATTTAAAACTGGTTGGTTGAGTAGGCGTTTTCTGTATCCTCTTAATTTATGCTAATTGAATAATTTCCTGCTTTTTCTCGTTTCTTTGATTAATAACCGATTTTATTCCCCCGCTCATTTTAAAGCGTAGCATCACCTCGCTTAAGCAATCGATACCTGCAAAAATTGGGCGCAAATTTTTGTTCGTGAGCAAGAAATTAATATCATGAACACGTATAATTGATATGCAGGGAGAGAAATAAATTGTTCGCCAAAGGAACTTTCTCACAAAAACCATTTCTGATTTATGTGAAATATTATATGCATACATACGTACATATATATATTGAAAATGAAAATCATAGTTAAGTAAGCTAACACTAAAGTTATTTATTACCTTGTACTTTTAATCCTTCTTTGGATTGATGAAAAACATCACGAAAAATAGATCGATTTATTGTTTGATTTATTTTACGTAATATGAACAACTCGTAAACGTGTTACTCGGCGAAATAGTAAATTTTGCTTCAAAAATAAAAATTAAAACCCTAACGTTAGACTTTCATCTGTTTGAAAAATGCAAGTGCGCCATAACTCTATTAAAGAATAAGAGATTATGCAGGGGATATTATGAAAGAGAAAGCGGAAAAATACGATGGGAAACACTAGCACAACCACCACAACAACAATGAAGATAATCCCTATTTTCTCTTTAGTTCAACACATGTGTACAAATAATTGAACACGTTATTTGTTTATTGTTTTTATTTATTCATGTATGCGCTGTTAATCTCGTGTCACATAATAATAGCAATTGTTGCCTGGTCTTTTAAACCTAAAAAATGTGATATTTCCAAAGAACTGAAGATGTAGAAAGATTTCTGCTGAGGAATTAGAATCTATTTTTGAAAAAGGGGTTGGGGAAGAGATTGTTTAAATTCGGGACGATATACTTGTCCGAGAATAAAAAAACATCCATTATAATTTGGTTATTTGGTGTGCGCCTCAAAAATAATATCAGCTCGAAGAAGATGAAGGAAAAAAATATATACGCCAAATTTTGCCTTTCACACACTCATCTTTTTACATTTGACGATTCGAGTCAAGTTAGAAAATCATAGACACAACCTTACATAGAAACTAATACGCCAAAAATCTTGGATTGTATTGCAGGTAGTAAAGTTGATATTATGTATGCATTTATCTTTTGTCTCATAATGAAAAAGATCATATACTATTGAGACAAAAGATATAGAGAATACTTATATTTGATTAGTTGTAATAATATCTAAGGGGAGCGCCAGAAATCAGGTGGGTATAATAAATAAAAATCACCTGATAAATGACACATTTTCTTTGTATAACCTTGGATTAAATATCCCACAATTCTAAAAATACCGTTACGTATCTAAGGCGCCAGAAATCAGGTGGGTATAATAAATAAAAATCACCTGATAAATGACACATTTTCTTTGTATAACCTTGGATTA